TAACCCTAGCAAAGCTAAGAAAATGTGTTACTCTACAGTTCAAGTTTCTTTTAACACATCAGCCATCAGCATGGATTTACTAAAAACGTGTTCAGTGAGTCATCTAGTTTAGTTAGGAAAATATCTGACGGCATGGAAACCAATCGGCAGGCTTTTGCTATCGTGTCCATCTGTCTGTGTATGGTAATGATGAAAATCAAATATGTATAACTAGCTTCTATCATCCCTCTGCTTTTCCATCATCAGTTCATACATGTAATTAACAGTTGTCATCATTTGTCAATAAAGAGGTTAAATTCTATGAAATTAATAAAATATTCTCAGTGTTCATAATTTGACTTTATCTATTAGTTCATACACTTCTAAATCTCCATCCATCTATCTGTCTGTCTGTTGAAATCATTGTTTTGAGTTTTCCACTGATTAGTCTTACTGGTCTGAATTGCTCCATCTCTGTTTAAAAGTTGATTCCAACCACGGTAGCCCCTTGCTTTTTGGCGAAGTTTTGACACTTTCGAACAGAAAGAAGCAGCCAAAAGGCAAGGATCCACCAAAGAACAATTATTCTTTCTCCATGAGTGCCTCCGTCATCAAATCCTACCAACCAGTGTCAGATACAAACCACTAGTCAGCTGCCTAATGGGATGGAAATTGGCTGAACAATGTGGAAGATGAATGGTCAGATTAGTGATTGTGGAAGCACATCATTGGATCAATAAATATCAAAAAAGAATGGATGTTCAAAAGGAAAAAGTGGAGGAAAACTTTAACCGAGAACACCTGTCAACGCTGATTACCGCAATTGAATTGTCAATTAGAAGACACAAAGAACAAAGACAGAAAGTTCTCACAATTAAGCTAGTCAGAATTAGAAAACAACAACCAGATAATACAACTATTGACTGCGTAGTCAACCTATCAGAACAACCATAGTCAAAAATGGAACAGTAACTACTACAACTACATCACTGAGGACACTTTGAAAACTGAATTCTTTGCTGCCCTTGAAGCAACACTCAAGTCTTCAAACTTAAACGAGGGAGCACAAGAAAAGATACACCAAACAATCGTGCCAATGGTCAAATAGAAGAAACAACACAATTAACTCTCAAGAACTAAAGACCCTCAAGAAGCTGGAAAAGGAAGGACATCGTCATTCTACCGGCTGACAAAGGAGGAACCACAGAAGTCATGGGTGCAGATGAATACTCCAGGAAGGCTGAAGAACTACTCAAAGATGAGGATGTACATCAACAATTCACAACAAATCTCATACAAACATTAGACAACCGCACCCAAAGAACCTAAACAAGCTCACCAGAACAGGTCAGACTACAAAGCAAGACCGATGGCAAATGAAATCCAGTAGATCAGTCAAACCTCGATTTTACGTCAGGCCCAAAATATACAAACCGAACATCCTATTACGACCAACTCTATCACTCCCAGGAACCCCAGCATACTATTTATCCAAAAAACTGAACAAAAAATTGAAATACTTAACGAATTCCTGCGATTACTTAATCAAATCTGATATCCCATTTCTAGAGATTATCAAAGGAATTCAAATAGATAATTAAAAAATAATGGTATTCTTCTATGTTGCAGCATTATATACCTCAATCGGACAGACACTAGCAAAAGGGAACATGGAGCAATTACTTAGCAAAGAAGAACACTTCCCACAACAACCTAAAATGCAACGCACACGTTGGATGTAATGCATAGGCTTATACCTAACAACGAAATTTCAAATCAACGGCCATATATATGAACATGTTAAAGGAACACCTATGGTATCACCCATATTAGGCGTGATTGTTGAAGCAGTGATGCAAAGACTCAAAAACATAATACTTCTAAAAATCAAACCCAAAAATTAGGATATGTTACGTGGATGGCACCTTCGTAATAATCAAAAGAAAGAAGTTGGACAAAACGCAACTTAATAAACAACGTTTTGGACGACATCAAATTCACAAAATAGGAATAATCCAAAAACTAAATCAAATTTTTGGACGTCTTAGTCAATCGAATAACCACAGGAAAATTAGAAACTTAATTAATAGTAAATCAACTTACACAGATCAAATAATCAGTTACAACAGCGACAATCCAATAACAAACAAAAGAAGTTGTATACAAACATGATTCAAGATTGCCAGGACTCTTTGCGCCACTCCCACTTTAAGGAAAATTGAAGAGAGATGTCTCATGGACGTCTTCCAAGAGAATAGATACCCACGGAACTCAGTCAAAAGACGTCTGTCTGCAAGCCAGCCTACTAAATTAAAGGCTCCCAAGGAAAGCACACAGGAAATCGCCCTACCATATATAAAATACTTCTCAGAAATCACTGCAAGACTCTTGATTTCCCACACAAGCCAACAAAATCAGTTCGCTTAGCTGGCTCTGATTCCACCAAAAGACAACAGCAAAAGAAGATAAAACCAACACGATCTTAAGAAAGAATTTCAACCACTGAGAAAAACACCACATTGGCCAAAGTGGAAGCCATCTTCGTCTTCATATCCATGAACATAAACTAACCATCAAAAGCGTGACATCAACTCCCCCGTTTTTCAGCAAACAGACAATCACGGACATCAGTTCGACTGGGACAACGTTCAGATATTAGACAGAGGAAAAACCAAGAGTGCCAGAGGATTTTTAGAGACCCGGTATTTCAGTGAATCGTCAGTCAATAGACGAAATGAGATAAGAAGGAAATCTCACACACAAAGGGTCAAACTCCAGGTCACAGAAACAATCAGTACCAATACAAGTAGCCTAGAGGATGTGAAAACACAAAAAAACAACCAGTCACCAGCAGAGATGACTAATAAGCCCGTGGAGAAATCCAAAACCTCACTTTAAATTGAAGTGTACACTGAAGATGTTGCCTAGTAGGGTAATGAAAGCTTCTCAAATAAACCATCTAGCTCAGATAGCACAACTACGTAAAACTAACCGTGAGGTCAATTAAACAGGTTGGTCAAACTAGTAGATCAGGGTTAACTAGATTATTATTATTTAGCTAGACCTATAATAATTGACCCTGCTAAGTTAAACAACCTAGAAAAAACTCAGCCATTGCACTGCATTCACTTGCGTGTAGTCACAAAATAGGGTGGGACAGGGTGAGAGTATTAAAAGGTGATGTAGTTAGGTGGAATGAGATCAAGTAATAGCTTACCTAAAACGCTTAACTCTGGTTAAATAATTAGGCATACAGTGTCTGACCGTGAGGAAACTTCTTATAAGCGCAAGATTAACTATTTCAACTATTCTGCAGAACATTAATTCCCGCCTGAAGTCAGCAATCAGTTTTTGATTATTAAATATATCAAGACTTGCAAACAAACGATGAGTACAGACTTTCCAGTTATTAACATCTGATTAGGAACCACCATGAGAACAAGAACAACTGAACGGATATCTCGATTATGATTCTCAGTCATTACAATACACTCCGACAGAAATTAAAATCTGAAATCTACCCCAGTACAAACAAGTCAATGGTCCTAACCCTAAGAGCTGTGGACCCGTTAGTAATCTACTTGAAAATCGACTTGTGCGATGTATAATTCAATTATGGGTAAAATTTATTTTGATAAAGCCTCACAGTGTTGTACAGTAATATGAAATGATGACGTTTCGAGCACAATTTATTGCACATAATCATATATCACCTTGATATGATTATGAGCCATTAACTGTGCTCGAAACGTCATCAGTAAGTATTACTGTATAACACTGTGTGACTTTATCAAAATAAATTTTACCCATGATGAAATTATACTCTATCACAATGCACAAGTTTTCTTCTTAAATAAGTTGTCCGATGTATGATGTTTGTTTTCTGTTTTAATGGTCTGTGCTAATGAATTTCTGCTTAAATATGACTGTACGATAAAATGATGCATTAGTTGTTTATTTATCTATAAATTTATGTTCCATCTCATTGAGATTTCTGTAATGTCTTGGTCTATCGAAATTCGATCCCAGAATCTCTGCTTCACTTATAAAGTTCACGTTTTAAAAGTTCGAACATTTTCATATTTTATATTAGAAAATTTTCGCAGATCAACTCTCTTATCAAACATGTTAGTGTTAACCAGTGGAACAAGGTCCATTGGATGAAAATCTGTGATTTTACTAGTGCACAGTAGAGAATGACTATCATATAACATTATCAGTGGCCACAAAACCTCACAACATAAGTACTTGACTTTACGTGTTATTAATTCACCCTCATTTGCTAAGGTGTGCTGAATTGTCACCTATTCCGGTTTTCAGCCATTTCCCCTGACTTCAAGTCACACTGAACATTCTGTGAAATAAACAGTTAATTCTGTAAGAATTATGAGACACCTCAGCAAATTTGAAAGATGTAGGATTCCATCCTTCCTAAAACTCTCCTAAGTGATACCAAGCAGTGTATAGATCAATACTAGTTAATTAGCATTCCGAAAATAAATCTCACCACGAATGAATCCTGTTTTAAAGACTCATGATGTATTCATTTATCGAGGACTCCAATTTACGTGACGATTGATGTAAAGAATTCACTAATAGTTAATTGATTTGTATCTATGTGGTACTACGGCGTACTAATAGACCAATTAAAATTAATATTGAACTAGTAGGTAGGGAGACTTAATGGTACATGATTTTGAAACCTTATTCATGAATATTCATGAGTATCATTAAAAATCAAATATACTCCATCAAATCCTGTACACTTTACCGCGTTTCTTTATAACAGTAAACTCATTTGTTTGGTGTAGAAGCAAGTTCCTCAAATATTTTACAAATAGTCAACTCATGATTGGGAGAATGGTCACTGAACACTTCTTGAAGTATTCATTAAGCTAGTATAAACAAGGAAGAGCCTAACGAAGTAACGATAAAATCAAATGAGATAAATCTTTATATGTTTAAATCAACGATCATTTATTTACGTTTAATTAACAAAATTCAATGAGAAATCGTATTGCCGCAATCATTTCGGTGTAAAAGGACATTTCTTGTTAAGACCCAGTAGAGTTAACAGCGTCTTCTTGTATAAGCCTTCAGTCCTCCTTTTGATATCACTTTCAAGACTTGTTTTGTATATTTCTTGATATACAATCATGACAGTGTATAAATCAATCTGCAAAGAAGAGGAAAGGTTAAGCATGAAAGTAAGAATCTTGTTCAACTTTTCATTTGAAACGAATGTTGACGGAAAATGAACAATACAACTACATACTCAGTAGGAAAGATCAACAAATTCAGGTCGTCAGGTTTATACAAGAATGGATTTATATTGCTTCAAGTATCTCCATGAAGAGACATTAGTAAAATGGTTGCTGGAAACTGACTAGTACAAGACAGATGCTCTATCCTCTCTAAGGATTTCCATCCATGCTTTCCTACAACTCGTTTAAGACTGAAACGTGACGTGTTTTTTATTTCATGTGGTAACCTGGATGTGCACATATAAACAATCTCAACATAGTACGAGACAGATAACCAGTACTTTACTGTTTTCAGTATTTTTGAAGCTGATATCAATGTCTAGGATACCTTACTTGAAATAAGTTAGAATTTTGACAATAAATGACCTGTATAAAAAACTCTTTGCTTGGTAAATAACAGATTTAGTTGTATTCCTTTATACATATCGGCTTAAGAGATAAGAAATCCTTGGATTCTCAAGTAAATAGTCTAACGCTGTGATGTGGCTATCTTTATCAGCACCTAGGTAAATGACGAAATAAAATATATGGCTGCATACTTGCTCTCCTCGTCGATACAGGACGTGGAGTCGACATTTACAAATCTTTTAAAGTTCTTAACTGTATTGTATCAAACCTTCGCCATACTTTACGAGTTTGACTTTTACATACAATAGAGGCGATCAAAATTGATCTATATAGGCCGATTCTGTGTCCCAGTGAGATTCTTACAGTACCTTTCTATCTCCCAGTAATAAAATAATATTTATAAACTTATCAATGATTTTCTACTATACTTGTAACTCCCAGTGACACTATTACTCGATTTCGTTTTATGTCATTGTGACTACTAATTAAGCTGATTGAGTGAATGCACTTGTATTACGGTATTTTTGTGTAATTCATTCATCTACTCTCCTCTGTCATCAGTATTCCCCAGGTAGCTCTTAATCTCTGCAAATAAACTGATCTTCAATTCCATAAGAATTTTCAGCCCTTTGATACCTAAACCAATAGTTCTTATTGCCTAACACCACCAGACGAATAGTATCATCTTAATGTAAAACTACATATTAGAAAAGAGCGACTTATGAAGAACTAACGGAAAAATAAGAAATGTCTTTGCTCAGTTTCTTGTTTTACTAAATGTCCAAATGACGGTTTTTAAGTGCTCTGGATATTCCCGTCTCTTTGTGTGTATGATAGCGATTATTACTGAGAAACAGATTAGTATGACCTCGTCAATGTGTATTGCACTTTTCCAACGAGAACAAAAACTCAGTGGTCGTCTGCTCATCTAAGGACAGCTTTTGTGAGTGATCGTTCTGGATTCGAGCATTTGGTTATTTGATAATAAACATTTTATCACACTAAAGGGATGGTACACTTCGATAACTTAAGAATTCCAAATAATGGAAATCACGATTCCTGAACTTAATTTTCTATTTAAAATTAGCTGTGTCAACTATATCAGTAAGTTTTAGTTGTGCTGTTATGAATAATCAAATCAACCTACTGTCAAGATTTCACATTCTTCAACTACGTCTGACTTATCTTGAAGGTTATGTTGTTCAAACAAATCCACCGGACATTATTCTCTTTTCTAAATTCACGCATATTTTTTCAATTTACAAAAAGTGTATCTTACTTCGGATCTGGTAATTAATAACCTTGTCAAATGTTTTTTCTTAACTGGGCTTGAAAACAAGGCGTCATGAATCCATTTCGCAATTAATCGTGCTCGTTTTCTACCTGAGGACACTAAAATGAAGTAAGCAAAAGTAAAAATCAGTCGTGAATGAATTTATTCAGATATATATAAAACTATAATGTTCTTTACGTAGTGTACACAAAACGTTTTGCAAGGCAGGACTTTGTTATGGAGACTTTATGCACTGATTTCGACTGTGTGAAAAAGATATTCTCATGATGTATTCCTTTTAGTAGGTGTTGGTCATTGAAGCCAGTAGTTTTCAACTCCATCTGCGTACATCCATGTGTAAATATAATTAACAACTAGATGTAGGGATAGATATTTTCTTGGATTTAGGGTGCTTAATTTCGACTGCTTTTATTCACGCCTGTTTACCAACATGAAAGATAGTAAGGTAGAAGACAAAAGGAGGGAAATGATGTATTCAAGATCGCGGAAATCCTTAATACGAAAGAGAGAAATAAAGGTAATATAGAGGGACTCAGCATTTTTGTTATTCCTTCACGTTCCGAGTGGAAAATAGGACTTCAAGCTAGTGGCTTGAAGTTTCTGTAGCAGTGGTGATTATTTTTACATGATGAGGTTGCTAGCGTCATGCCCAACCTTTCCTCTTTACCAGCTTTATTATTGGCTCAACGAGGTTTGGGACTGCGTCGGCTCGGAATCGAACCCCGGACCATGTGCATGTTCGGCGAGCGTCCTAAGCTCTGTGCCACCGATGCACGACTCAGCATTTCATGCAGATAGTTCTAATGAATGGACGTTTCTTAAAGCTTCAGTTTCTCACACCAATCGTAGCAGTGGTCAGAAACTTTGTGGATCAATATAGTGTCTTAGTTTAGTCGCCTCAAGCTTCATTTTGCAATAATTCTGTTCTGTATATAAAAGACACATATGAGGTCAATGTTCCTTAGCCAAATAAGTAGGTAGAAATTAACTAAATAATCGTTTCCATCAAAATGCTTCATAGCTACGAGTTTGTTCGCTAATCACCTCCAAAACACATGAATAATTTTACACCGGCACAATACTTTATTCATTCACTTACCTGGGATGGGTCATCTATTTACTGGTAAGTCATGTAAAATTATATCAGTTTTAATAAACTGAATTAAACACCTTAAAACAAAAACAGTTCATATATATTACACACTAGGCAGGAAGCAGTACCTAATATGTAAGTAATATGTCAAGTTATGACCGGGTCTGTTTAACTGACCTACTTCATTTATTTTAATCCTTCGCGTCCCGAGTGGAACGTTTGGCTTCTGGCTTGAACTTTGAAGTTTCATTAACAGAGGTGTTGTTTCTTTTGGGGTAAGACTGCTAGCCGCATACCCAGCCTTCCTCCTTCACGGAGTTTACTAACAAATAGGCTAGGTTTAGGGGTACGTTGGTCCAGGATTGAACCCTTGACCAATTGTGTGGTCAGTGAGCATTCCACAGATGAACCACCGACGCACTGAAGTAGATACGAGTATTTTTTTACTACTGAAGGTTGACCAATATAAGAAATGAGTTTCGTTCAATGTTGACAGTCACATGCGCAAAATTGTACACACCAATAATATTCATAACTTAGTAAAGAAATACCAGGAAACAGCGAACTCACACATAGCAAGCAGAGTCCTCTGATAATTCCCACTTGTTTTGTTTTTAATTGCGTCCTCGAGAGACTCACCGAATAGCTGAAAATAAGTAAACGAAAAACAGGTGGATCAAACTTTTAAAATGTTATCACAAAATAAACTGATTTATACTGAAAGTAAAACTTCCTGAGATAGATGTACATATAAGTATCATAGATTTATAAGACTGCTAGTCGTTATACATGTTAATTACAGTCAGATGATGATTGGTTAACAGCTGGTCCATGCAACTCAGCTGACTTGAAATAATGTAATGTCAAATTAGTTTAAATCAGAACATAGTGCATCCAAAAGTGGCTTTCTAAAATCTTCAATCAAAGGACGTTCTTGTGACACTGTGTATCCTTCATGTGAGTTAAACATTCGCGGAATTTTGAAACATTGTCACCAAAACTGTTTCAGAAACATAGTCTGCCTAACTCTGAAATTCAGTTCTCTGAACTCTTAAATGTAACGAAACATCTGTTCAAATAACTCGCTAGAATATTTGAAAAAGTTATATGAAAACCGATAACTCTTCTATAGCTCATCCATATAGGCTTAACATATTAAAAACAACTACTTTGGCCCAAAGTATGAATAGTAATTCCAGAAGTGTTGTCAGATTGATGACTATTCGAATGGTCTCACAGTCCTCTCCGATCAAAACAAAATTTCCGAATGATGCATGTTATAATTCGCTAAGTAAATCGTGATCAGTAGGGCTTAGTGGTTAATGTGGTCAAAAATTGGTGAAAATGTGGTGATATTTCCCGTTAGTTACTAAAGCCAAGCTCAATTTGTGAGTTTTACAAGTCTGTATCCCACATATTATTCAGTCGTATCAACCTTTTCGGTAAGAACAAGTTGACACCATGTTGTTTATGGGGGGCTTGTTATTCCCTCAAAGTATGTAAATATTCTGTTTCTCCGACTTTCCACAAACTGCTGCTCAAAATCGTTGGCGTCTGATAGCAATAAATCTGTGAATAGATTTACATGTTTTCTGTTCATTTGTTTCATCTCTAAACTAATTCAAGTGCATTTTCCGAACTAGGAAAGGAGAGATTTCTTGTGTCACTCACCATGTCAAACAGTACCCTGAAATCTGTGAACCATATTCGACAGCACTTATCGTTGGTTATTTTGTCGTTTATATTCCTTTCTAGAAAGAAACGGCCTATTCGAATATTCAGTAAATGTAGATTAGAAATCTGGATTGAGGGTTTAACCGAACAACCTGCATTCTGGAAAAAATTCACAGACTGAAATTCTATTCAGTGCAAAAAGTGAATAGTCATGTAATTCTGTTTTGTCATAAACCACTCTTCCCTCAACTGTGTATGCTTAAAGCGTATAAATTCGTTGAAAATGTTTTGGAGAATTATAGTTTTTAAGTGATGAAATTAGTGGATTTATTTGTGTTTTTTTTATTCGAGTCACTAGAAGTTTTTGAAAGTTCCTAACAATGCCATGAAAAAACAGAAAACAACTCCGATTTTTGTTTTGTCAGAATCCTACTTCAAGTATTGTTTTTGCTGTTTTCAGATTCACTAAGAAAAATTCACTTATGCTCGTCTGTTTATAAAGGAACATCTTATAAAGATAAAATTATAAGGTAATGAATAATTTCTAATTTTTAAAAGGTACTTGTCATGAGGCTATTGCTAGAAATTTTACTAAAATTTATGTATCTTTACTCACCATCAAAGCCAAGGTAATAACCTATTTACTTATTTTATCCTCAAAGCTGATAAGATTCTGTGGACCGAGTGGATTGCAATTTAAGCAACAACAATTTGGTGTCAGTGCAACATATGTAGCTATGGGTTTACTGTAATATCTTACTTATTCGTAAACACAATTTCAGTTTAAATACACTTATAAACATTTACTAAAAAGCAGAAAGTAGAACAAATACAAAAACCAGCAAAAGTGTTGTTGAAATTCACTTACAAGTTTGTATTCTGTATCAATTCCATCCAAATCAAAGTAGTCCGCTTCACAAAATGATTGAGTTACACTGTCTTTATCAATTGGTTTTCTGTTAAAATGCAAATAGAAAAATAAAAAATACATACATTTATTATTTTACAGTAGTAAGGTTTTACGAATAATAGCAAGTCACAAGAACTCAGAAAGAATTACAGTTAGACAAATCCGTCGCTGAACGGAATCACTGCTGTTTTTCTTGATGTTTCTATGTAACTTCACTTGGTTTCATAGAACTATATTTAGAGCGTAGTGTTCACGCACAGAATTGAGCAGTATCCTGTGGAATTGACAAAGGTACTGTGAAAGTCAGTTACCAGTTCAATGCTCACTCTGTGGGTTAATTTGAATTCCATTACTTCATCAAAATTCTGAAATAGACCTATTTACGGAGTTGAATCGAAGATTACAAAACAATGTAGAATTCGAAATTTCTACACAGTGTGGGTAATAATAATCAAACGTTACAAATCTGAATTCAGTGAGCAGAAATGCTTTCTCCGATATCCAGCCCCGCATTCTTTACAACATCATTTGATGTGAATTCGGTTATTATTATTATATCCTTTAATTCCTAGAGGAACATAGGGCTTCAGCTGCGCACCTCCATTGCCTTCTGTTTTCTGCCGACTTTTTCACCCCGCTCCAAGTCTGCCCACACGACCTCATCTCCTCTTCACATGACCCCCTCCAAGTCACCCTTGCACTGACGACCAACTCGCCCTTTCCCTTTCGGTTTCCATTCGAGGGCTTGTCTACTGATGTCACTTGATGGTTTTCTCAGAGTATGGCCAATCCATCTCCATTTCTTCCTGCCTACTTGTTGCACAATCGATTACATATTTATTAATAAGCTAACTAAATATTTCCGCCTCTTAGGAATCACACTTGGCCATTATGGTAGAGTGTAATTCCATCACAGAATACATTTACTTGATAAATGAACACACTCGTGCAGTAATATCAACTGATGACACTTCAAGCCCAATTTATTGCTGTGATGTAATTATGAGCAGTAAATTACAGCAAGTAATACTGTATCAATGTTCGCTTTTACTAAATAAATTCATTTTATGAGGGAATTAATTATTTCTAATTTGATCGTTTCAGTAATCAGAGGTGATGTTTGTGAAGACTAACTAACTTACATATGAATTTCATCACTAGGTGATATCATTTAGTGAACCTTTTAAAATTAACGGCCAATGGACTCTACGGTGATGCGCATTCTCGACGTTTGACACAGGTCTCTAGATGGGCATTTAGACGTCTATGTTTGTAAAGCCAAATTCTTTGGTGTATTATGACGCTTTGTCTTAGATCTCACCAATCGACAATAGTAGTTGTAACAGAATCCTAATTACAAGTAATTTGTAATTTGATGTAAAATTTATGATTACAGACTTTCTGAATTACAGTTAATGATGAAATAAAGATAGAATGATCCAGATTGTTGACATATTTGACTACATGAAAAATTGTCAATATTTATTTTGTTGGGATTTATTTCGTTTACAGTTTGATCACGAAATGACATCAATTAGAGAACTAAAAAATAACAGAAAGTTCTGGACAGTTTTTTTGCCCTAACCCGGGACCTTTCAACTATATACACCCAATGGGGCTCGAACACACATAAACACGTAAACTTACTTTGACAAGTACGTATTCAGACGCTGAGCTTCTTGTTTTGAAAAATTTAGATTTGTTTCTACAAAATATCGTTTTACCTCTTGAATTCCATCGGTCGTGATTAGTGACGGTAATCGTTCATTTCTGGTTAAACACATTAAAATTTCTTGAAAACTGCCCTGTGTTACAGTTCCAATATCTTCACTCAATTCTTTTCCAGCTAAAATAATGAACTGTTTGTTATTTGGTATTCTTGTAAAATTATATTATATGATACCTCGTGATATATTTAGATATATAAACTTAAAGGAAGCACATTGACTTTTCCATTTCACTGTAGCTTTCGTCAGGGACTAACATCAATTAGAGAATTATTGAAGCTCGAGCTATTGCACCCTAGTCACAGACTTTTAAGAAGTGCGCCAGAGATAAAAACCCATAACCTTCAGGTTTCAAGATCATCCACTTATCCATTCAGTTGTTCACTGTTATTATTTTCTACACCTTGTGTGATATAAAGATCAAACACATTTTAGTGGAAACGCTACAAAACTAATTAACATTTAAAATGTATGTCGTGTTAAAATGCATGTTTCACTACACATTTATATACTGAATGCTGACTACATAGTATCCGTTTGCGTCCTAGAATGATGACACACATTGAAAGTATTTCTATTTATTTTCTCGTGTGTTATTGTTCTGTTTGAATAATAACTTGGAATAGAATCATGCAATGTGAAAACCACATGTAAGTACATAAACGGTTACTTATCAGTCAGTCAAGGCAACGTATTTGTTTTGGGTAATAAACACGAGAACACACTGTAATAAATGTGCATTACACAACATATATTCAAGGCATACCTTGTTTCTTGTATAGTTCAACCAGCTTAGTTAATTCTTCTTCTGCAACATTGATTAGTATTTGCATTAATGTTATCTTATCACTTGACCCGATAGCATGCTGTAGTTCTTCTACGAAGTAGTCTGGTAGGTCTTTTAAAAGATTCAATATAATTGTTTTGAAGTCAGGATCTTTCAGACGACTCATTCTATCGACTAAAGGCTGAAAATGAGAACGTGAATGTTTTACATAGATTCGTATGAATAAATAAAGTGATAATGTAAGTAGGATGTCTTTTCAGATGCAGGTATTTTCTCAACCACCTGAAGTGTTTTTTCTCAGGCGGAATTATGACAAATTAGTAGAGTGTTGATCAACTCACAACCTTTATTTCGATAATTTTAGTCGACTCATGAGAAAATAATTAATCGAATGGCATAAGGCGCCTGAATGCTTAACAATAAATCATTTGATCTCAGCCATATTCGTGATCTGGTTAGAACATACTGAAATGTCAGAATGCAATGACTGCCTGCAACCACTGTTTGAGAAATGGTATAAACAGATTCCTCGACAAACTGATTTAAATGATTTAGTGATTTCATTGCACTCACAGAACTTTTGGGCTTCCCACCCTAAATATAAGAACATTAGTCTGTTAGAAGCTTCAGTGTGAATCAAAAAACAGTTTTCATTGTCTACTGACAGGAAAGAATGCATTACCAAATAGGAAGGAGTAAATAATCGCTTTTTCTATATTTTAATACTTCTATGTGACGATATCTATGGAATTATGAACACAAGCCTTCATTTTATGATTTCATATAATTTCAGATGTGTTATTAGTTCGCTCACTAATAGGTAGGCTAACAGACAGAGTTACGCACATGGAAAAGCTGCTTTTTAATAAGACAAAATTCAAAATACTGTAGAAATGACGTGCTTGTTTCAGCTTTATTGATGTTTAGTGAACTTAGTGCACGTCAGTCTGATCTTACCTTTTTAAATAGTCTCGAATATATCCTCTGTAGTTCTTGTCGTTCGAAATTCGTTCTTCGCGCCAAAATGCAGACAATTTCATCGACATCTAGTGAAGAATTTCAAACACAATGAGTGCTCATACATTATTCAACTGATCAAATGCAGTATGCTCCTATTTGAATGATTCGGATATGTTCACATTTATTCTCATTTTTGTCTGCATTAATGGAATAAGAAATACTGAAATATTGATCACATTCTATCAATGTGGAAGCATTTTAACTTGTGAGAATATGGTGAAACCACATGATCGGCAAATATTAGTATAATACCGTAAACTTGACAACGCTTATTTTCGAGACGCTGATTTGAATCAGAAAGGGGGATAAACATGTGTGATGCATAACCACGTGCTTAAGGACTGTTTCATTCGACTTTACTTCATTTAATATACTGGAAAGCACACAATATAGCCGTATTGTAGTTTGATGTTAATATTCGACTGTGACTGATCTCATGAGGATTTGTAGAATAAATTAAATAAAGTGGTTCCAAGGAACTTGTATTACATTTAATGCCTGTGTAATATATGCAAGTAATTTCGTCTCTTGTTGACGGCTAGAAAAAAAATATATGGTCATCGTAAGATGTCTAGACATATTATGCCGTTATATTGTGCTTCACATAGTAGAACTGACTGTAGGCAGAAGAAAATGGCGTTTGAATAAAGATTCCTAATTGAAAACGATGACTGGGTAAAGTAATAAAGTAATATTTGTAGTAATATTTGAGTAATAAAGTGATATTTGTAGCATAGATGTATTGTAAAACAGCAATATGTAAGTAAGTATTTTTCAACTTGTATTTCCTTATTTGAGGGATAATGGGTGATCACTTTAGTTATCCAAGACCTATTTAGGAACGAAAATTCAGTGATGGTTAGCTTTTAAAGTTCTCCGCGTAGACCACAGTTCATGGTTAAACCTTCAGTGTGCTCACCATTTAGTCATGAGTCAAGATATTTTAAAAAACTAATGACATGATTTATCACTATAACTGTGATTTTCAAGAGACAATTAGTATCCGAATTAAATAAAATAAAGGAATTACTTTGCGTCAGTTCATACAATAGATATATATAATGGAAGAGTTAATAGCTTAAATATATTCCATGACTGATTCGCAGGGGAACATTTCAGTCAGACAGATATCAGGATACAGGATTTCATCATGAGCTGACATCAGTTAGAGAACCATTGGAAAACCTGGGAGTACTGGACAGCTGCACCAATAGGGTGCCGCAGGTCGGGTGTGAGGACAAATACTCGCCGAAGACATTGGCTAGGGGTCGCGCTATGTCATGAATTGGCAGAAGTTAGAATTCATGGGCCATTGGATCGGGTTCCAGTGGCTTAATGGTCTACGAGCTCGCCTGGTAACTTTAGGGTCCTAGGTTCGAACCCTGTCGGTGGGTGTGTACTGCTGAAGAGCCCCAAACTAGGACGAAACGGCTATCCAGTACTCCCAGGTTTCCCAGTGGTTCTCTAACTGATGTCAGCTGATGATTAAACCCTCCATGCAATCAAACAAAAATCCCTACAAACCAACACTTAAATATTAGACATCAGGATATTTCACTGCTATCTGTGAACTATGTGAGTCCGTGGTTTAGTGGTAGAATCCTCGCCAAACACGCACATAATCCTGGTTCAATTTCTATCTGATACACCTCCAAACACCATTTATCCGGTGACGAGCCTGGCAGACGTGAGGCTTGCATACTCACCCCGTTATAAAAGGACACTAATTCTGCCGAAACTTTAAAGGTCAATACTGTAGTCCTATGTTCCACCTGGAACGCAAAGAAATCAAAAGAATTATACGAACTACAATTACGGTAATAAAAATGATCAGCCAGCTTGTGAAACTGTTTTCAGAAAATAAATAAAAGCACATCGTTATGAACTTCAGTGTTTGTTAGACATTAGTCAGTCTTACCATTACATTTGATAGCTACATGCATTGCAAAAGCATCATAGTATGATTGGTAGTATATTGACGGTGTGTACAATTTCCCATTTCCCACGAAAGACTCAAAAAAGTTTCGTTCTTTACCAAAGCTAAACCAAACAAATAACACGTCTATAATTATTCATTGTCAGTTGAATATTAAACACTGAAACAATGAAGCAAAACCTCGAAGTTAATTGACGTAGATTTTGTATTTGTTATCATTATTCAGAAGACTATTTCAGTAACCTTTTTGATACAGAAATTCTCATTAAGATTCTGAAAGGCATCCTGAAATATCAAAAACACTGAATTTATCATAATCCTATCTTCATAACCACTAACCTACCTAGAACCAGTAATGTTCATCATTAGACCACCAGTGCTCAGATATTATTCAGTGTTTCATGGAGTTAGTGATGAAATGATAGGCTTGATTTCAAAACCGGTAGCTAATGGACTACGCACTAAGAGTTAAGATCTCAGTGGTAACATGGTTTACCTCGAAAATTTAGTTGGAACCTGCTAACAAGCACCGAAAACTCAAAATCCTTCAGTCGCTTACCGTTTTGGGCAACTGATTACTAACAACAGTGTTGTCACAACAAAAAGAGGAAGTATTAGGCAGATGATGGTAAGAATGAAGTAAAGAACTCTTAGAAAGTTAGTCGATAAGAAGGATGACAAGAACGAGATAGGTAGCGTCAATAATAAACTGTTATTATTTCATTTAATTCCTAGAAGAACATGTGGCTTCAGCAGCACGTCTACATTGCGTTCGGTACTCTGCCAACGTTTTCACCTGAATTTTATTTCCTTTTCACATGATCTCCTCCATTTCGCCTCCACACTGACGATCAGCTCGCCGCTTCCCATTCGGATTCGACTCGAGAGCCTGGCATGTGACATCACTTGGTAGTTTTCTCAGAGTATGACCAATCGAATCCACTTCTATTTCTTCCTGCACATTTGTTGCAAAGTTGGTTCTTGGTTGGTGTGCTGATCTTTTCTGACCATCTGATCTTCAGTAGTGAGCAAAGATAGCTGTTGATGAAAGTCTTTAGTTTGTTTGAGATGCTCTTTATGACGCGCTGGCCAAGTATCTGATCCGTATAGTGAGTAGCACTGACTTCACATTGGAGTTGAAGATACGGATCTTATTTTTGATGCTGAGTGCTGTCGACCTCCACATAGTCTTTGGAGTATTTAAAGCTTGCCTTGCTTTTCCGATTCTGGCTTTGATATCCTCGTCAGTTCCGCCTGTAGTTGAGACGATGCTTCCCAAGTAGGTGACCGAGTTTGCTTCTTTCAGATTTCTCCCATTTATGCTGAATCTTGTCTGCTGTTGCTGTTGGCCAGGAATCTTCATCACCTCTGTTCTCTCTATGTTCACATGTAGGCCTATCTTTGATGCTTTTTCTGCCAACTTGCTGTTTTTCACTTGCAGATTTTCTAGTTTGTGGGAAATCAGACATATACCATCGGCGAAATTCAGGTCCATCAAGTTTTATGTGTGCGTCATAGTGAACGATATTAGGCTGTAAATATCATTCTAAATATGTGGAAAATTCAACAGAATGTTTGAAGGATTTTATCGCAAACTAGGAGAGATGAAAGAATTAGAACAAAACTGTTATCAAAAGAAAATGTAGTGTAAGACAAACATGAGGAAGACATGGGGATATTTGCGTGCGTGTTAAAATTTGACCGTGAACGGAAATACTGAAGCTCAATATTATTGACTTATACAATGAGTTTCCCCCGTAAAATTTAGTCAGGCGAGAACACTAAACATTGTGGTATGAAATGAAAAGAATTTCATTTTGTGTGCTCTGAATCTCCCATATACAATTTAATAATTCACATTTAAATATGAGATGTTGGTTCCAATAAGTTTCTCAGATCTGAGTCTTAAACGAAATGGAGATGGTTCTGTGACACTTGGGATTTATTAAAAGCCTACTTTGATGTGTCAATATTTACCCTCTAACAGATTTTGTTCCTTCTCATACAAAAGGATCCCAGTCGAAACTTTGTTTTTAGCGCTAACCACACTATATTCTGAAAAACTGGTTGACGACTAAATGGAAAATTTTCAAAATATCGATGATGGATACTCCACTAAGTTTATTGATAAATATTCAAAGCTAAAAGAGGGAAATACGGTTGAAACAACTATACTAAAGAAGAATGTATTCATCAGGTTAACATTAAGAGATGAATAATAACCGTCGTTTATCCATATGTATTTCTCTCACACTTCCTGTAGCGAAATTATTAGTGGTCTACTTCACAAAGAATATGATCAGACGATGAAATCTGCACGTGAGGACCCTATAAATTACTTCCAATTACATTTATTAATTTACATGTGTTTGCAGTAGTATGTACGTTGAGGAACTGACAGGTTCCTTGCTAAAAGAGCTTCTGACCGTGCCAAAAGTTTGTTATTAAGTGCAAGACTAACTATCAGTGCTGCTGGTAGATATATACTTGATAGGGTCACGACATCGATTCCAACACAACTCTCTGGGTGTTGAATGAAAAGAAGCATATTAGATTACTAGGATAGACAAAAGCAGCAGCAATCCGACGACTGAATCCTAACCACACTTTATAAGAAATATGTTGAAACATTTGACTTTGTTTGGATCAAATTTGTATTTGTAATCTAAATGACGATTTGTAATATATATATATATATATATATAGTATGTGTGTGTGTGTGTCAAAGTGCATATTTGTGTTGATTGTACCAAATCAGGTTATTTTTAGCTGACAATGATATCGTGAATTAAAGAACTTTACAGAAATATTCAATAACTGACTATCTGGAAAGTCTGAAGCACACAAATGGAAGGTGACTTCGATTCATCTCAATGCGTTTTTGCTTACGCCTTGAAATAAATTGGTTTAGATGATTATATATCATAAATCCATTAAAAATATGAATAAATAGAAGTCAGCAAAAATTTCAGCCAACAAGATACGGTGATTACTTCAAATAATGACGCTTAGCAGTGGAATGGACGGTGTGCATTTCATCCCATTTAGGACCCGTCGTTGGCTGTGTTCGCGTCCCCATTGAGCGATGGCCTTCCGAGTACTAATCGTTTCAAACGCCAATGTATTATTTACTAGGCCACTAGGACTATGATTATTTTTTCACAAATGCGATATGTGCAAATGAGAAGTTTTCAGATCAAAGGTGATAAAATGGAAAAATAAGAAGTGTGACAGGATGAAAGTGATAACATAAAGTGATATAAAATGAAATGAATCAGCGTGGAATAAGGAAGAATATTGAGGACTTTTGAATCACATTAAATTATTAAGCCTAAGTTAACGAAAATGGTTGTTTTTGTACACATAATTCTGGCTTTATATTATGCATTTCCAAAGCTGCCACTACTCAATGCAAGTGGACTCAAGCACCTTTTCACAAACTCAGTGAGACTATTTTAAAGCATGTCTCAAAAGCGTCATGGCTATTATTTTGTACATGTTGCATAATAGACGAATTTGTCTTGACTCTTGACTAGACATGGAAAAGCCAAGACGTTCTTCTAAAAATTATGGTATATATTACATAATGAACATTCACTGCCTGTAGCTTCACAATAGCTGGTTAGAATACGAAGGCAGAAGGAATCAGCGAATTGAAATAGCGTCTGTTTAACATTAAGATGCTCTGCGGAAAAATATTTTCCCCCTATAACATCATCGAACGTCTTTCGCGGACTACAGTGGCAACGTTGGGTCCAAATTTTATGTTTAAATACAACAGATTTGCAAGAAAGGCTAACTCCTTAGGTATGCAAAGTTTATGCTAAAATGCTAACACTGATTCATATCATCGGCAATATCTCCATATGTGTTACTTAGTGTTGAAACCGGAACAATTTCAATATTTCAGTACTCGGTGATTGGAACTAGGTATCCTACGACGGTTACAATGAGGATACCGATCCTCATACAGCTGTAATCTTTTGATTTGTATTGTTTCGCTTCCTCTTTATAATGGTCGAATGTGGCAACTGATGGTGATAGCAGTTTGCGAGTTTCGCCATCTTAGTATCCGCTAACTGACAATAAATTCAGGGTAATTTCCCAATTATTTACACGTAAAGTTTGTTATTCAGTTTAAGTCATTTCATGATGGAAGAAAGCCTGGACAGTAACCTACTGCTTTAATCGCAAATATTACTCTCAGAAACATGAAAGGTACAAGTGAATATGATATACAACGACTTACGTTTCATATTTTGTTCCAGGTGCTTGAGCCTAAAAATGAAACAGTTATTGTGCACACAGATTGGTGATTCTAAAAGTATATCTTGAAGATAAAATAATTCACCGGAAAAACGTTTAATGCATACTATTCAAGAATACTGAGAATTGCTTCGTTTTATTATAATTGTCATGTCAACAGTCTGCTCATGTTTACGTCTTCATCTCGAAATGTCTAAGATTGCTTAGTGTACTATAATACGACGAGAAAAAAAGTTAATACGACGATAGATTTCAGACCGCTGATTTCATCGCTGACACAATCTAGGATTCCATTTCATATTCACTCACCAACCACCCTGACTGCTTAGGTCTGTTAAATCAAAGAAGACAGTCATGCAAATAAATGACCGTCTTCATCGCCAACTTAATTCGGCGTCACCAAAATGGTACTGAAGAGCTACCTAAACAGCCAGTGTGACAACCGCCAAAGGAAAATAAATATTATTCACATGACAGGCGTCCAAAGTTTCAATGGCTGAAGTGAATACAAGATTTGTTGAGCGGATGGGTTCTGTGATTCAGTGTAGAACTATGAATTAAAAAGGCACATAGTGTCTTCGAATATTCCCCATGAGTTTCTTAATGAGTATTAGCTTTTTAAGTATCCACTTAGTATTGCAAAATACCTAGTTATACATTCTATGGGTGTCTACATTCTACTAGATGGCTACGAAAATCTATATCAAAAGTTATTTTGAAATTTATATAACATTCTCCTGA